TGAAGTAACATTAAAGAGGCTGATGCTCAAGTCATGTAGCAGATCAAGATATAGAGCCCAAAATTAGCAGAAGACTTTATATCTATGTGGATATCATATCAATGACTGCGAGCAATGCTGTGGTCCAATGCAATTCCAACATTTTGTACTTCTGGATGTGACAGTTCCCTTGAGCGGATGACCGCTGGTCAGCAGCAGTTGCTGTGAGTGAATACCTGTGTGTGCATTAACAGTTCAAACGTCTCGACTCACACCAACATCCTTTTGATTCAGAGGCTTCACAAGGAAAAGGAAAAAAAGGTCTCATAAGTGAAGCTTCACATATCATCCAATGATGAATTTAATAATTAAAACAAATACAAACAGAGGAAACTAAATACTAAGTGAGACCACAGCACAGTCACACTCCTGCTGAGATCTGGAGCGCCGCTCCTGATCACTCAATTACAAGCTGACATTTAGCAGGCTACAGATTCGCCCACTGAATATTAATTCATGAGCAAGGTATTTGCTCCTTCATTACACGAGGGTCTTCCCAATAACACTTGCGGGGGATGAAGCTACGTGTTTATTTCAAATGGGCACTACCTATATATTGTCTGCTATTCATGCTTAACGTTGCACATGTGCAGCTTGTGATGCCAGTTTGACTTTGAACCTAAATGGCATTCATGAATTCTTTAAGCCTTTTACATTTTAAAAGTATTTAGGTCTTTATAAGACAATATTTTGCATCAAATTTGATTTAATTCTTCAATCTGTCTGGAGACTTTTAGCCTTGTTTAAATTCCAGACCAGTGCGATGCATCTTCACATACACCGGTCCTCCATGAGCACTTTAACACATACAGTTAATGCAGAATATATTGGGTACTCTTTTCATCTTCCTTTTTACAATTATTTAATACATTTTTCCATGCTTTAGTGTTGTCTTTGAGGCCCTTTGCACTAATGTGCAATTCCATTCCACTCAAGGTAAACCTTCAACATAAAAAAGGGCCAAATACCTCAATGGAAAAGTATGAAGCACTTGCTGTTTGGCTTTAATCAAATGCAAAAACATAAGACGATTTAAATCTAACAATTAAGAAAATCCCTCATGTTCAAAAAGTCATTATGCCGTATTCCTGGCTCTTGTTTCTTATAAATAAACTTATGTCATATTTAAGTATAGCCCTAAGAGCAAAAACCTTGGTCCATTAAGAAACCATCATTAATGTGTCCCTTTTTGATCCTGTATTAGCTTCAGATTTGCGGTACAAACTGTGTTGTTTTATACTATTACTGTCAACTGACCTGCGGTGCTTGCAGCTACGAGCTTCTCATCCACAATAATCAACATTCAGACAGGTTCTGCTTGAGACTTACAATAAACAAGTGTGTGGAAGGGAAATGTGACATCAAATGTTTGTAAGTTTGTTAAGTTAATTGCTTTTTAATGTGCAGTCAGTGTCTTTTTTTTTCTCCCTTCGCTTTCACGAGACACCACATTTAGCTTTTTTATGTTCCCACTGAGACACATTAAATCATCCTGCTGTAATCGTGGATCAAAGTCTGACACTTAAACTGTGAAAAGACAAGATGATCACTTGAAAGGTTTCCAAGACTTTCACCTGACAAATTGTCATCGAGAGCTCCACATTTCTAAAATGCATGGCATGTAATGTATGCAACCATTTTATGACTGAGGATTTTCACAAGATACGCAAGTAAATCAATTCATCTTTCTAAAATTGTATTTTATATATTTCCATTCATTGCCAGTGCAAAGCATATTATACTTGTCATTCAGGTCTAACTGACACATTATGCATTTTGTACATCTCCTTTCTGAGAGATTGACACGCTGAATCTTTACATATTTTTATCAAACTCTTCTTCACGTTGCTACTTTTTAAAAATGCATCACTGCCAGATACCAAAACCACTTTCTGTGGCAGGCTGGTAAGACATAAGATAGAAATAGTAGACTAACACAACAACACATTACACTATAGCAAACATGTGTTTCAAAACTTGACTATGCACCTACTGTACGCATTTTGCAGCTCATAATAATTGTGTAACTGAAGAATACAATTATTTATAGGCTCTATAACTATCCACCCCAGTGACTCACAGTCACAGCAACTCAGCTACCGTCAACAATGTGGCTTTGACTGAGAGTTGCCCCTCGCAGTCTGGCAGTGAAAGAGTTAAGCCATCAGTGTGGAGCAACGGCAGGCGGTGATTGGTGGCAAAATGTGCCTGAGTAGAACCTTCATGCATAAGACTGCAGGACAGGTGGTTTTCTCTCTGGGGATCACTGTGTGAACCTCATCCAGCGGTGAATGGGATTGAGCCGAACGTGATTGAATGGCTTGAAACACGGCCTGATGGTAGCAGTGTGTGTGTGTGTGTGTGTGTGTGTGTGTGTGTGTTTGAAACATTAAGTTGGCTTTAGCGCCCTCTCATCCAAAGTCGTCCGTTTGATGAAAAGGCGCTGGAATTACCACAAGTTTCACACAAACACACAAAAAGTGATCTAATGTTTAGCTTTAAGTATGTGTGCATATCTGTGTGTGTGTGATTGCTGCAGACCCAAACTATCTTCTAAATAGGAGACAGAGAGAAACAAATGGCTCCATGTTGGACTGTTCCTGCACTGGGGCTTATTGATGGTATATGCCCAGCCAAATATTGGCTCTGGATTTGTTTACATGAGGAATATTTTTGAATTACACAGGCAATGAATAAAAAAGGCAATATAAATGTCATACATAGAGGCAAAACAGAGGAAATCTCTCCCTCCACTCGAGTTACAATTACATCCTAGATTAATGTGTTTTGGAGTATTTGCAGAAGTAGTAGAGGCAATGAATCAGCGTTAATGGCAGAAGGAAAAACACTTCGGAATAAATAATCGGCAAACAATTACGATGCTGCACACAAAAACAACGGCTTAATTTACTTTCAACTGTATATGATCCACATTTGTCACCGCATCCAGTCTTAAACAGTACTAAAAAAAGAGAATAACGATGAAACATTTGGGACACCCACAGAAAAATAATTGTGTATGAGCACATCCACCCACTACAGGCTAACAAGACAACAACAAGAAAGTCCTATGGTGCACATGAATCTTTATAGAGGCTCTGTACGGTAAAAGGGAAGGACACGCCCACAGAACTCCCATTCGTTTACAGGTGTTAATTAAGGGAATTGGTTAGCAGTGATTCCTCAGTCTGGCTCCTCTTCCAACCATTTTCATCTTATAACATTTTGCCATGTCTTCATTATTTAATGTCTCGTGTTCTCTGTGGTGGCTTGTGATATTTTGTATAACAGTTATCTATGTTTTGTGATCAGTTAGCCTTCCGACCTATGTGAAATAAAACAGTCTATTTTAACTCTGCGCAGACATAGTTTCCAGCCGACTTGATTCTTTTTGCAAACTCTTCCATTTTTCTGTTGGTCAAGAATAATGTTATTGTTGGGCGGCTACGCACTCGTAGAGAGGTGCCTTACCTCTGTGCATGCATGTACGTGGTCTACGAGTGTAGGCTACTCCATGTCTCTGGTAAGGATTGCTGTGGTGTGTTACACTCCATACCGGTGGCTCGACCTAATATCCACCATTGCATGACTTCTTTTGGATAGGAGATTCTGGAATAATGATTGTGATAATTTGGGGCGGCACGGTGGCGTGGTGGTTAGCACTGTTGCCTCACAGCAAGAAGGTCCTGGGTTCGATTCCGCCCAGTGGCCTTTCTGTGTGGAGTCTGCATGTTCTCTGCGTGGGTTCTCTCCGGGTTCTCCGGCTTCCTCCCACAGTCCAAAGACATGCTCTGGGGATCAGGTCAATTGGGGACTTTAAATTGCCCGTAGATGTGTGAATGTGAGTGTGAATGGTTGTGTGTCTCTGTGTGGCCCTGCGATTGGCTGGCGACCAATCCAGGATGTACCCTGTCTATCGCCCGAAGTTGGCTGGGATGGACTCCAGCCCCCCCGCGACCCTGTGTGCAGGATAAGCGGTTTGACAATGGATGGATGGATGGATAATTTGGGTTTCCATTACTGCATTTCTAGCTTAATATGTCCATTAATATCATTGTCATGAATATTATTGTCATTAATATTATAGTCCCTCAACGATATTATTGCCCATTTATATTCAATCCTCCCCCTACAGCTTCCGTCCCTGCAAATTGGATAATTTGATTGCTTAAAAAAAAAAAAAACATTTCATAAAAAACCCGCCTGTTTCAAATCGATAACAATTTTGAGAGCCTTTTTTTTTTTCCTAACCATATCATTTCCTGGGGTTTTCCCACTTTTCTCCAGCTAGTGTTTTTTGTTTCCATCTCATTTCCCCCACAGGCGCCGTATTCATTAATTAATTAATGTGTATTGTTCCTTAACCATACTATGAAGGGAATACCTTCTGGTGTTCTAGAGGACCAGACTCCGATTGGATGGAGGGGTGAACGCACATCCTTTCATCTCTGGTGGAGATTAAAAAGCAAGCAGCACCTACCCTTCAATTTCCAGCTTTTACATGAATGCCGAACAGTTCGGTGTATTAACGTTATTCATGGCAGGGCTATTCTTCTCTTCCCCTCTCCTCTTGCTGAAAGCCCATCCGCTATCACCTGTTGCTCTACACCAACAGTGAATAGCGTGGGCTTTTAACCCGTCAGCTAATAATCAATGATGTCTTACTCGAGTGCTTGCTAAGTGCTGGGACAGGTCTGTTTGGAGTAAGAGACACACAGTAGGCGATACAGCCATGGAGATTGCATCAGTGTGAATGAATAAAATGCTAGTGGCTTATTTCTAAATGTTGTTCTTTCTGTGTTTTGTTTCCAACGAGAATATTACATTCGATGACTGTGGCATTCTCACACAGGGATTCTGCTCCGCGTCACGGGGGGGAGGGGCAAAAAGAAATCCTACGCATTCAAAATCATATCATAACTCGTATAACGGGAATTGGACGGCGTGGCCAGAACACTCACCCAAATGTTGCCGTCTTGGTGATATGGTTTCCAGTTCCTTCCTGTGTCGCTGTAGAGGAGACGGTACCGCGTCGTCCAATCGGAGCTGCTATAGCGACCCTGTGTTGCTATGGCGCTAACCTGCTTTCTTGATCCAAGGTCCACCTGTAGCCACTGGTAATGGTCACTGTCCAGAGGAGACCAGCCACCAGCACCTGCAGATTAATGATAGGTACTCCTTTACATTATCCGTCTGTATGAGATGTTTTTATTTAATGTATCTTATCAGCAAAGACTCAGGCTGGTGCTGCTGTTTAAGGAATAAAAGCTCTGGAGTCAAAGGAGCAGCATGATTCCTTAATAATGATATTTAACTAAGAATGTGGCTCTATTAACCAGACTGGAATGAAGTCCTCTTCAATATCTTCTAATTATTGTCACTGTGCCCTGTCACTGTCACAGCAGAAACCTCAAATTCTAGAGGAATTGCAGTCTGTATGACATTCAAAGAATGATTAGGTTTGTTTTTAAATATTGATATGTAAGACATGGGTACCTTCATGTATTCTGTGGAGTCTGCCGTCATCCACATAATGATGTATTGAAAAAAAACTATATACACAAAGACACAGTTCCAAAGTTGAAGGTTTATGGTCGCTTATACAGGGTGGAAGAAAAAAAGAGGTATACATTCACCCAAGGTGAAATATTGCTTTGAAGAAACCAACTGTTAAAGGATTGTGTTTCAATATTATTTTCTCAGGGCTGCAGCTTTGACTGTTGGAATAATGACTGTTTTTGTATAGTAATCTTCAGTCTGCATCCCTGTGCAAGTCTCGGCCCTCATTGTCAGACAGATACTCATGGTTCCTCCAAAGGTTGTCTACCTTCCCTGAATCGCACAGGCTAAATGAGGTCCAGAATAAATGTCACAGAATCGAAAGACCAAGACAACTGCTAGAAAGAAAAGAAAGTAAAAAGCTGGATGGGTTACACCAACCCTTTCGTCAGCGATTAGATAGTAAGAGTGAAGCAACAGAGGCGTGATGCCAACACGCTATGTGGGCTGCTGGGAGAGCAGTCAGACCGGTGTGAGAAATACAAGAAACAGGCCGAGTGCTTTAGAGTACGTAAAACAGATGCAGGGACGACTGCACGCGCGCAAACAAACAATCTCGTACACACGCACCAAAAGGTTGAGCACCAAAATGCATCAGTGCAACAAACAGCCAAGCTTGCGCGAGTGACTGTGAAACGATTATCGGGGAGAGTGGGCGGTGGGGACCGCGATCTGCCGCGTTACGTCTTTTTGGATTCTCTGTGATGGAATTTCCAAAGGGACACGAATGCAGATAAGAAAGTCGCAGGATGAAAGCACCAACTAAAGGAGAATGACTGACTGATGTAAACACGGCAATGAAAGAGAAAAAAACAGTCAGAAAAGGTAATGCCAAGAAAGCACAGAGGATGTGGGAGAGGAGCACCAGGTATAGTGAGAGATGATAGTCATATGATAAAATAGAGGGTGAGGCATGAATCCCCCCCTGGCAAAAAATCCTATATCTTATCCAATTACAGAGCCATTACACTCCAGCCCGGGCCTTGACAGATAACCAGGCCTGTATCAGTGGAAACGTCAATACCTCAAAAAACCCAGTGCAGCAGAGCCATTCACTCTGCGGGATAAAACACTATCAGAAGGAGGAGAAGGGGGAGGGTGGGGGGGGGGTACCGCATGGGGTTTGGGAGAGGCGAGGTGATAGGGATCGTAAACAGACAGTAAACAGAAAATAAAGATTAAGAAGAAGTGGGCTGAGTGGACAGTGACCAAGGCAGTGTGACGCCACGAACAAGATCGAGGACGGGCTGTCAAAAGGAACGACGAGAAGACGCGTGCTGAAGGGGTGACGAGCGGAGGGAGGGAGACGGAACAATGGAAACGAGGGCGGGTAAGAGGGATGGATGAGGTGTGGGGGAGAGCGAGTGACGAGAGAGGCTTTTTATGTCTCTGGTAGATAGCATGCGGACGGGATACAAAAAGGAAGGCAAAAAGGGAGCAATGTAGTTTATGGTAAAACGGGTGATAGATGAGGCCAAAAGTGAAGAGGGGAGGATGAACAGCGCAGAGGGAAAAGGATGAGTATCGTGGGAGAGAGAGAGAGAGAGAGAGAGAAACTAAACCCATTCAACACTGGGGCAACGTCGACGGAGAATGAGACTGCAGGTGGGTTCAAATGACATGGAACGGATGGCTGTGGGTGGAGTCCTGGGCGATATAGGGAAGCGAGAGAGGAACAGATGGAATGTGTGCAATGAACACGGCCATTGCTGACAATTCCTGAGTGAGGCTGGAACATTGCAGAGGTGGGTGTGCTGCTAAAATATTTCAGCTTCTCAGGCGAGATAAAGAAACTTCGCTTAGCGAGCTGTAGCCTTTATTCACCTACAAATACACCAAACACACGACACAGCCCCGATTTACTGCAGGGACGTTACGGCTCATTATCACAAACATGCTCATTCGCTTTCGATTGGACACTTTCTAAAGTATACCAGACACGCCGCTGACCCCCTCGCAGCTGTACCTTGAGAGTAAAGTGCTTGCATCGTTCCCGTGAGAATGCACAAAACAGCGTGGCCAAATTTACTTGACGGATGAACTGGTGCTTGTTTGTCGTTGATGGACCCGAAGCGGTTTGGGCATCGGATTTGAAAACCGATGCGGATATTGGTGTCTCACTACTCCTGATGCAAACAATAGTCTCGCAGGGCCAAAGCTTCAATCTTTAACCTTTCTATAGCTGTATCAGTGGTGTAGAAGGGGCTGGCTTAGCCCTTCACAATAAAATACAGTTTGGGTTACATGCACAGTCTACATCCTGTGAGTCAGACTAATCACTGAGAAACACAAATCTGCAAATCTTTACACATTGTTCTAGGCCTCTTGAACGGTGGTGGTTCATAGCAACCTCATTTCAAACATCCAGTATTGTCTACCTTGCCATACTTCTGCCCGGTTGATCAATACGCAAGAAATTGCACTAGTGTGTGGTAATATCATCACCAGACCTTTCGTGTGCAGCTCAGCCACTCCACAATGCACCTCCCCTGCGGGGCCCCCCTGCAATGCTTGAGAACTTTCCAAATCCTCCTTACACCACCCGTTTTATCAAATGCCCCCAGATTTTTCCCACAGTGGCTCTCTGCCTGGTAGTGGATGTCTCCCTTTGCATTCCAGACTTAACTCTGTGTGGGTGCATCCTCCCCTGTACCTGCCTACATTATGTGCCTGTCCTGTCCAATTGAAGAAGCATGTCAGGGTTACGGGTTATTAGGAGGAACAGATCGGTATGACGGAGAGAACGATTGATTGAAAAAGCGTAGAGACAAAAACGATTATAGAAGCGACGGCGAGTATTTGGAACGACAGATTTTTTAAAAAGCAACGAGAGAAGAGAGCTGTGGACCCCCGAGCTCAATGTTGGAGTTCAGAGGAGAAACCGGGGCCACAAATAAAGGATGTGGAGGGAGAGAAGAGAGCCAGAAAAGTGATGCTGTCATAATTTGGGGGGAAAGGGGGAAAAAAGGAAACAGATAAGCGGTGAAAGGTGAGGAGGGCCAGCTTAACGAAGTTTCGCAGCGGCTGGAAGAGGGATATAAAAAAAGTACAAAGCGCCATTAAAAGGGAAAAGCTGAACGGGGGGAGAAAAGGGTTGAAAAATGAAAAATGTTTGACAGAATAAAGCGGCCACGGAGGAGTTTGGCAGTGGGGGGGGGGGGGGGGGCTGGGAGGTGAGCGAGTCACTGCGAGCGAACAGAAGCGTCGGGAAAAGGTGCGGAAAAAATGGGAGGAGAAATGGGAGGGGAGGAGCGTCGGGGGACTGTCGCCGTTCTCTCACCTGTCACAAACACAGATGTTTGGGGAGGAAAGGAGGATCAGGAGGAAGATAGGGGAAAGAACGGGGGAGGAGAGAAGGTCAAAGAAACCACCTTTGAGAAAGAGATGGCAAAAAAGAAACAGGAAAGTAACACAGATAAATAGATTAAGGGATGGAGATCACAGAGAATGCAGGATACGCACAATCCAAGGGGAAGACAGAGAGAACAAAGCATTGAAAGCAATAGTTTTTGGACCTTTCAGGACGTTCCCGTTCAAAATGAGCCTGCTCAAGATGGTTTGGCACCCAGATTGTAACGTTGTTGAGGGTTGATTATTGAACAGACAATCCGGACGGGACAAATGGTTGAAGTTAGGACATCCTACTTGTCAGCGGATAGGCGGCGCAAACGAAGCAAGCGCGTTTTGGTCGGTGAATGGTGGTCAACAGCGAGCTTTCAGCACCTTTGTAATTTACTCTGTCCAAATTAGATGGGGCTGATTTTTGGTTGCTCTGCAGAATTTTTGATGTCTAACCATTCCAAAATACTACATTTTCACTGGACAATCTTTTTAAATGTGAGAACTGATTTTGCCATGTCATTTAAACGTTGGAAGAGATACAGCAGAAGGGGGATCTGTCTGTATGGAACACCTCTAACCCCTCATGGTTGCACTATAATATGTCCTCATAATGCGGTGGAATTGGAACAAGGTCTAGTTGCAACACGGACACTGGCATTCCTAAGAAGCAGCGCGTTATCAGATTAATCTGCTCTACCTGAAAGCCACCCCGCTGAAAACGTCCCCGCACGGTGCCCTTCACGGGTCGGAGCTGGCCGAATGGAATTCAGACAAAGAGCTCCTTCTGAGATAAAAGGAGCACACCGGGGGGAAGGAAAATGTCGCTGAGGTTCCTCCCGAGCTTGCACAACAAGGTTTAAGCTATCTGCGATGACACAGATAACCCTGCAGTTGTAGCGCAGTCGGAGCATGTGTTTCAGAATAATCTGCTGCTGGACAGGTGGTGACAACAAATGTTTTCACACACACACACACACACGGACACGTAAGAGCGCGTATAAACATGTTTGTGTATGTGCATGCAGGCAAACACACACACACGCACACGTTTTTTAGCAATTATTCTGGCTACAAACAAGGGACCACACCAAGGCAATCTGTGCCCGTTGCACAAGAAAAACAATAAACAGTAAAAGCCACTAAAATGTGTAAGGCGGCGGGACATATCAACAGGAACAGGAAATGCCCTGTGGGAGGCGTTGCCGAAAATGTCCTCCTTTTGAAATGGTCAGCTAATACAATACCTGTAGGTATTTTCCTTCTGTCACATCTCCGTTCACACTGTTCAAGAAACCCTCGGCTATGGATCATTAGTCCGGCCCACAAGTGTAGTTATGAAAGCTCCCTTTGTTGAGTTTGATTTAAGTCAAACAGTTTTTCCCCCGTCTCGGCCCGACCTTTCCTCTCCTCCGTTTTTACAGTTATGTGATCCTAACTCACCTAATTGGACAGATCACAGGGTTATCCGTCGCTCGTGGGCAGTGAGTGTGTCAACATACGCTGTGCACATGTACTAAAAATACACCGTCAGCTGACTTGACCATAGAGATGCATATATTTATTGGTTTATTTGATAATGGACAGTGCTGTAAATGTGCCAGAATAATTTTCTGATTAATCTCTTGATAATTTACCAGTTTAATTGCAAGCAATATCCAAGTTTTTAGATCCCAAATGGGCTTTTATGGCACTGACAGTAGAAGATGTAAGCAAGTGAGCAAGAGAGAACAACATCATCTAAACAGATGAAGAAGAGGAGCGAGAGAGGGAAAGAAAGGCTATTTTCATCACTCTGAAGGAAAGACAGGAGATCTGAGAGTAAGCGATGGACACGGAGGGTGATTTTGGACGAGTGACAGGCGTGACACAGAGATAAAAGTGACAGTGGCAGCGGAGACCATCAAACGCGTCTCGGTCTTGCTGTTAGTGTGGGAGCGCGAGTGGGTGGGAGCGCACGCACAAAACGCAGCTCTATCGGGCTGCTGCTCCCGGTGAGCGTTGGCGAGAGGACACGTGAGGGTGAGTTCATCGAAGTTGCCTCTTTTCATAACAACCACAACCACATTAACAGAGAGCGTCTTAGTTAATTGAGATGCTGGGCCGCCGGAAGAGGGAGCAGAGAGAAAACAGCTGGTTAGCCCTCTGCTCGTACTTCATCTTTCTGTCATGGAGCAAAGGGAGCGGATGAAGACAGAGTAATTTAATTAGGAGCGGACCGACATTAAAGACGGATGACTGCGACGACTCGAGACATCAAGAAAAAAAACGTTGTCGGATGACAGAGAGTGAAAAGCGGTGCATTATAAAAAGGGCCGGGCAAGCTGGTTAATTGTAGTCAGAGCACAGTTGCACTGCAGGACTGTGACTTATTTTGAACGAATAAGGGTGGGTGGGATGGAGGGGGGTGACATACATGGCAACCTTTTAAAACTTCGGAAAGTAAGTATCAAGGCGGGCATGCGAATGAACGGGGAGAAGAAAAGTAGATAATGAGGCCTGCGACGAAAGGGGGAACCGCCTGAGAAAGGGTACGGCGGGAAAGATGGGAGAGGAAAGAAAGCAGGAGGCCAGGATGTGACGGAGGCTGAGGAGAGGCCGGACCCGGTGGAGGAGGGAGAACCACGGAGGGAAAATGCATAACGATGAGCGGCCGTGTGTTTGGGCAGCATCCGCGCGATGTGTACGCTCACGTGCGCGCGTGGCAGCGGGCATGTTTGCGGACACACACATAATCCTTCCTGCCATTTCTTCTCTCAACGTCCGCGCACAGACAATGTAGTCATTATTTTGGTGTGCGCTTGGCTTTGTCCAAAGCTCAAACCTCTTCAAGACAGGTTTTTCCAGGAATGAAGTCTGTGTCAAAATAACGCAGACAATAAAATGCATCTACGTGGAAATAGTTTTTGTGATTACACAATACACGAGGATTGAGAATGCTTTGTTGAATTTCGGCGCACAACAACTTGAGCTTAAAGTGTCAACCAAACGTGGCTCATCTTTTGACCTTGAACTCCTCCCCTCGACTGTCCCCAACTTCACACCCTCTCGCCTCTCTTTTTTCCGTCCCTCCATCTATGCCTCTTCTATTTTAGCGCTGCGGCACCGAACAAAGCCTCCAGTGGGCTGCAGATCACAGCGAACGTGGGCGCTGTGTCACTGTTGAAAAGCTACACGGAGGTCACCAGTTTTATTTTTAATTTGTTTGACCAGATTGTTATTTTAGGTCAAAAAATTGAAGATGTCATTGATTTGCATCATGAAAAGTGTAGGATCCAGAGTATGAGGATCTTGTTGCATACTAAGGATTAGATATTCAGACTCTGTAGCACACATGGGTGCTTTAATTTCTTAAAGTATACATTTAGACCATTAAGGAACTCAGAATACATTCTTCAGGAAATACAAAACTAAATTTAAAATATGTTTAACGGCATGTCCAACAAAGGCGTATTTCAGAAAATGTTCTGTGACCCATTTTCAAACCAAGTGATTATGTTTAGTGAGGAAAAGTTGAAATATGAGTAAAATAACCTGCTCTACATTTCAGTCAAAGTCTCTATATCTCCCGCGTATCTCTTTCCGGCTCCCTCCTCTTCCATCCCTCTTAGGAAATAGACCAAAGGGTTTAGCCGGCTGCGGTGGGCCCACCTCTCCCTCTGTCTGACACTATCGAGATGAGCAGGGTCTCACCCAATAGGGGTCGGCACTAAGGAGAGACCGTGACGGGAGGAGGATTTGGTGCGTTTGAGCGAGGGAGGAGGCAGAGGATTAATAGTGTAGGAAAGGAAAGTCTCATCAGCATGAGAGAGAAAGGAAGGAAAAAAAGAAGGAAGGGGAGAATTAGATATTAACATACTGAGAGAGAGTAAACGAGAGAACAAAGATGAGGTAATTAAACTGAGACTCCACGGGTCAAGTTTACAATCACCATGTAGCGTAGAGTAAAAGCTTGTGAGTGGTTTAAAAAAATAAAACAAAGTGCATTTAGCATTTTGATGACGTCTGTTGGTAAAGAATGTGTTTCGGCATTTAGCGAGCCGCCTCTTCCAAATACACACATCAACAAAATGTGCCAGAGCTTTTTCCTGCTGAGGTATTCATACACACATTCACGCTTTCTCCTGAAAAACATACAGTTTCTAATATAAAACAAAGACACGTGCACACATATGAATGGATGGAGCGAGCAGCGTGTGTGTGTGTGTGTGCGACAGCAGTACGGTTACCTGCCTAAAAAACATTATGGCATCCTTCCACCTATCTGTGCACACACACACACACACACACACACACACACACACAGGCGAATGAACGTGCACCTCAAAATGAACACAGACACGCATACACCTGCAGCCTAAAACTCTATTAGCTGTCAGCATTCACAACACGCGCTTAACATGATTGGTGTGTCCAATTGATTTTGTGCCTCCCCAGTCCCACAACAGTGGGAGATCGGCTCATCAGCGCACACTCGTGCCACTGGCGGCACATTTGGCTGCCAAAACGTCGCTGCTTTGCGGGACTGGGATCCAGTGTTTTCATCTAAATGGCTGTTGGATGCGAGCAGTTCCACGCTGCCGTACCTGCGCGTGTCTTCAGTGGTGCACGTTAAGGCGTTTGGTAGAGTACCGTTTTCGAAATGCACGCGTCTCGCTGTAAGTTGTGTCAATTTTATCCGCAAAACTGTTGGTGAGTCATTCATACGGTGAGTGTTTTTTGGCAAATGTTTCAGTGTTTGAGCGTGTTTATTTGGATTTGATTTAGGTTTGTGCTCCATGATGTCAGTGTTTCGGTTTTGTATTCATGTGTTCTGCATTCTGCAAACTGATGAGAAATAACAATGCTTTCAATTTCAACAAGCGCCTTTCTTCAGATAAGGTAAAATGGCACTTTGCTTTCAAGACAAATGGATTTTCTGACATATTTCTAATCTTTGTAAAGAAGTTTCTCTTTAGGTGTGACCTCATCATCCCATCCTGCAGAACGTGTCTTATTTTATATTCAACCCTTGTCAGATGCTGTATGCTAACAAGGTGACGACCTCATCATAAAAAGACAGCGTCATTCCTAGAGGACACCAAGACGCAGAGGACGGGATGAAACTTCATACTCTTCTCTCATTCCGCCTGCTACTTTGACACTTGCCTCGGAACAGTAGGTACCCATTTTGGGACACTTGTGTCAAAACCTGATGCAGTTTATCACAGTGGTGGTTCTGGCACGTCATCTAGCTTTAGAGAGGTCTTAGAACCAGGTCTCACTAGAACATGCGGGGCTCCATTATTAGAAGCCCAGATGGACAGGTCTTGGAAAAGAGAGATAGCGGACTCTTTGCAGTGCGATTACGCAATATCTGCACAGAAAAAGGTCAATTTGATGAATAACTATTTTATACATGAACAAGTAATATAGTCTGGATCATGTGCCTTGTAATTAATTTTGAGAAGTAATCAAATCTGCCTCGAAGTAAGATAATGTCTGACTAACCGATATTATCTACACATCGGCAGATAGATCTGCATATTTCATGACACTTGTCCAAAGATCAAGCTATTTCATAAATAAATCATTTTAGTGACTCCATGGTTGTATATGTCACTGTATCTTTCTGTATAACAATAATCCCTTAGAAGTGGATTAAATGCGACACGTTACCCAAGGACCTCCGTCCTTGAGGAGATGGAATAAATGAAAGCACGTGGGGACGGAGTGCCATTGACAGGATGGTCTTAATTTCTTTCCTTCTTTTGTTTTTTCTTTGCCCCTTTTTTGGGTTACAAAATGTCCTGCTCCAATAAATATGTTTAATTACCTTCTGTGACTTTTGTCAGCTCTGGCGTGACTATATTAGATGGAATATTCTGAAATATTATTCGTAAAAACATGTAAGGGTGCAATTTCCTCGGTCCTATCTCTGTCTGCCGGGGTCTGATGTGGAAAGGAGCTCCAGTCTGAGTCACTGAGATAATGACTCGAGCTGAGAGACGGGAGGGAGAGAAAAAGAAGAAAAAAAAGAAAGGGTGGGCGCAGCTGTGCAGCACTACGGGTCAAGTCTCTCTATGCGGGCCGGACACTTCCCTCTCAGCAGGTAGAATCATTCCCTAGTATGCATGTACACATGCATGAACGAGGTATTGTTCCTCTCCCCACAGAGATGTGGGGGGGGGAGTGCATGCACCTCGACAGCTCCCACTGTGATTGTGTGTGTGTGTGTGTGTGTGTACCTCCTCTCCTGTTGAGCTTCGCATATCCGGGTGCGTAGCCGTTGGAGAACACGGACGAGCTGGTGAAGGCCGTGTGAGGAAGAGGAGAAGCTAGAGCCTCGTCACACTTCTCTGTGGAGGTAGAGAGAATATGAAGAGCACAGAAGGAGAGATGGAAAATGGATAGAATGAAGAGTAAGGAAGGAAGGAAAAAAGAAAACAGGGAACATTAGTATACTCTGTGTGTAAATTAGAAATCAATGCTAAACATGCGTTTATGCTAATAAATGAGCCCATTGAGTGGTTGAGGGTGTTGTAAATCCCAACATTGTTCATTAAATGTTAAATAAATGACTCTGATGGGACCTTCTTCAACTCCAGAACTTTCACCTGAAAATCCTGCATTGTTTTTTCACAATCCCCTCTGTGCTTTGTCAGAACAAGACTTGCTCACAACAGCAGAAACATAATGCATAGCTGGAGGTTGAGGTGAGTCAGAGATAAACCACAGGACCGTTCAAAACATTGTCGACTTCCCAAGCAATCTCAGGAGTGTACTGCGAAATGTCCACTGTGACCAGTAAGCTGGACTTTAGGACGCATGATTGATTTCGAAAAGAGGACAAAATTTTCTGCCATAATTTTAAGGACAAACCAATTGATATAACGTGACCGGTTGACTATGGTCCCATACAAGCAAAGAAAAGTGCACGAGAAGAACCAAACATTGGATGTGCCAAAATGATCTTCACTTTAACAAAAGGAATTACTGAAATGACTGTAGTTGGACAAAAGGTTAAGTTTAGTTAATGCTTAGCTTCAGTGAACAACATTAAGGACATCAGTGTGTAGTCATGGACAGAAGCCTACATTCCATCTATTACCACTACTAATGTAATACCGCTTCTCTGAAACGTAGGACCACAAAGAGTGGGTAGTGCATATTTTGTGTCAATAACCTCAGCTGTTGGTTTATAAAGCTCTGAATGGTATTGGGTAAAAAAACAAAACTCCCTTCCCATAATGAGTGTTGCACAGGTGTGCTTACAATGAACCAATTATCTTTCACTGCATTTTATTGAATCCAATTAAAGACAATTATTTTGTACTCCTGGTGTACATGGATGGATGTTGGTTCCTTCAACATCATGCTTGAATGTTACATGTTGATTGTATAATGAAGCTTTGAGAGGCTCATTTTTGAAAACCATTCTTAACGAATAAAAGAGGATGAACATTTCGATGGTAAACGCGGCAGCTTTTTGATGGCCTTTTCTGCAGATTACGCCGAATGCAATTATAATGTTAATGTCCCACATCGTTCCACCTGCCTGGAAGAATGAAGTGTGGATGCAATGACCTGTATAGTTCAAGAGGAATACAGTCGGAAAGATAAGTGCAGTATTTCTCTTCTGTCAAAGCCCCCCGTGCCGACTCGAAAGTCCAGGCTCTTTCAAAATAAATCGCAGAAAGCGACTACAGATGCGTAATGTATGCAGAACAAAAAAAAGCCAGCAAAAGTCATCTAGAACAAATACATAAATATATATTCCTGTCATACACACACGCACACACTATCATGAAGTCATTTTCCCTCCGCCCTCTCAATTCAACCCTTTCACTCACTCACGCACAAACACTCACCTCTCCCAGTACGTACGGTTTCACCCGGAGAGAAATTGTGAATGGTCTGTCGGGCCAGGCAGGCAGTCAATAGCTCTTTGTCATGCCTCCCGGAGTAAGTGTGTGTGTGTGTGTGTGTTTGAGTGTGTATGAGGGAGAGTCAGGTCTGGATGAAAGGGAATTGTTTGTGCCTGTGTCTATGTGTATGTACAATACACTGTATCTAGGTGCAGTATATTGTGGGTAAAAGTCAAAGCCGTGTCACCTTTTTGGGCTGTTGCGGTGCTAGCACCATTACTTTATGTCACAGTGTGGCCCACCCAGAAAAAAATATCATTATTAAAGCACGATAATGTATATTTGTGTGTGTGTGTTTGAAAGGGGAAATGGTCTGCAGCCTTCCTCCTTATCCATATTTTACATCTGACAGGATCTACGCACGGAGACTCACTAAACGCACACGAAATGTACCGAGGTCTCTGGCACGCAGCTCTTGAGCTGTCATGGTAGTAACATCTAAGTAGCATTGAGTTACCGGCTCACGCCCACCGTGATGTAATATGGGGAGTGTCATTTTATTTATAAATAAACTAATACTCCCACGTTGTGTCACATGGGGGTCACGTGACCTTTGCAAGTGTTCATTACAGGATTAGCTGATTCCTTGTGACTTAAGTGGGAACACCTTGTGATGTGTTTCCCGCTCACCTCCTCCTGAGAGCGAGCACCTCTCACGCACCAGCATCTGCTCATGAATTTAGAATGAATCTTTGATTCACGATTAAGTGCTTTCTTTCGCCTTCACGTATTAAAAACAAGTCCCTCTTTTATGTCTCTCCAGACTATGGTTTTTGGTGCCCGGGTCAATTGAAAAACTTTATTTAAACTTACTCCGGTGACTCCGTGGCAGCTGACGATAGCCTACCTACCGCTTGTGTAGCTACAGTAGCCAGCTGGCCAACTACCTTATAGTTACATGTATTTAAGGCAGTGTTTCCCCTGCCGTTATTGAAGTCTGCGCACGCCGGTGCCGCCTGGACACGTGCGTGCACATACACACCCACCAGTGGACACAGAGCGCGCAGAGTCCCTCTGCTCCCCCTCCCCAAAATGTTGTTGGTCATAAAGCCACGTTGCGCTGCTGACACGTGACTTCAATTCACTTGTCTTTATTTCATGCAGCAAAGCGTTAAGTAAATAGATAAATAATATAACCCATCACACGATAAAAACAAAAAAAACAAAAACGATATGCTCTAGTTGTGCCCAATGCAGCTTTTCTGTGACCCAATTATTATAAATTGAGACCAACAACATCTAACCTTTTCCCCACAAAATCTGGGTGATGGGTGATTTTGCTGGCATGAAATCACAGCAAGCTTTTTTAAATTAATCTGATGTAAGATTAACTCATTATAGTAGCTCCGACTGATATAGTCTTTTGACTTCCATCCATCCATCTATTTTGAAAAGAGCACCACCAGCCCGAAGGCACATCATTGTGGCTGACAACGGTACTGCATCTGATCGATCACTGGCCACCCCGTCTAGCATGCACCGCACATAACACACTGCTGAACAGGGTCGCTACACACACTAATAAATATATATATATATATATATATATATATATATATATATATATATATATATTTTTTTTTTAAATAAAGAATTACACAATTCTTAAAAAAGAAGGGTAGTGTTTTTTCACATATACATCAAGTAGTCAAAAAAGCAGACCGCGTCCCAGGCCAGTTATTAGTGGACATACGCTACCTCCTAAGGCATCACGCGTTTCGATATCTCTGGGTTCACGCATTGGCTCCCCCCACCCATGGTGTGAGAGAACGTACCTACCGGCGATCACCCAGCGGCTTCACGCATTGGCTCCCCCCACCCATGGCGTGAGGGAACTTACCTACCGGCGATCAGACATCGGCACCGCACTGACAACCAGGCCTGATGGCGCGCTCTACCAAATTAACCCTAGAATTCGAGAGGTATTTATAGCCCTCTAGGGGAGTCATTGTTTCAGTCAAGGTGCACAACATTTTTGGGGGCCGATTTTGACGACTGTCCCTGTCTCGGTGACGCCCCAGAAGCCATTTTCCAATTTGAAATTGCTTTAGTTTTTACGTTATTGGGTCTGAAAGAGGCCAAAGCTGCCCCAGTTGCATTGTGGGTAATCACCAAAACCGCTATGTAGTATGAAATATCAAGACATATTCATAAAAAAATCACTTGTATCAGTTTATGTGCTGATTGGTGGGATGACCCTAGGAATACATCACATTTGTCTTAGCCACAGGTCTCGTTACACCACTGATTAGGTGTTTTTATTTGTCAGCCAATCGATCTCTCTCATTTTGAATCGTCCCGTTGTCGTGAGTGGAATTCTAGAATGGAGTGGAATTCGGTCATTGATGCGGGTTCAAGCTCAAGCAGGTGCAGTACCGTTTTTGGCCAGCATGACGTGCCAATGGGCAGGTGGCGCTGTTTCAAAATAGATGGATAGATATATTACGCGGTACTTTCTTTGAGGGTGACGAAAATAAGTTTGTTCAATTTTTATTCACAACTATTTTTTGTTTTGCAATAAATAAATACCTATTTTTCTTCTCCTTTTCATCGTGCAGCTCCGTTGCCCTGCGCGCTTCTTCGTTGAGCTATAGATTCACTCGGGTGTCCCCAAAAGTTTTCCCATCCGTACTTTGGGGTCTCGTTGCTGCCTTGGTTAGACAACTCAAGTTTGCAAAGCCATTGCAGCTCCAAAGACCAAATCGATCACTTGTTAATAATAGGCATTCCCTACAGTTTGCAGTGCTTATCGGAGCCTGTGAGCCATTGATAGCGCTCGTAGAAGGAACTTTGAAAGTAGCGAACGAACCCCTTTCACGCCCGTGACAGGCTTTGTAGCGTCGGTGTCGGACGACCTCTCCTTACAATGTTTAACTTTTCTTGAAAAGTCCGTCTTGAGAATGGCGTTATAATCATATCCTCGACCAGATCGATATCTTCTCCTCCTTCCGCCATTGTGGGTTGAAAAAACAGCTTAGTAGTTCGCAAATTAATTTGTTTATCAAATTCATTTTTCTAGTTCTGAGGTTCTGCATAGACCTGCCCATAGGACCCGCCTCTCAATATTGCTAATCCAATCAAAAGACGTGCACGCACTACGCTTGCTAGCTGGCTCCTGTGTAACACTGGCGTACAATAACCAATTCTAAAGCTGATTGGTTGACACAAATTTAGTGTCAACCAATTGTAATATTGAACGCCAGCTAGCAGGTATACAATAGCCAACTCTAAAGCTGATTGGTTGACACTAAATTTTCATTTCCATTCTCTTTAAACTACAGGCGCCCGCACTGTTGATTCTGAAGGCCCGAGGGCAGATTTTAGATCCCTGGCAACACATGATGGCTGAATATGATTGGATTGGAATATGATAGATCTAACATAAAGACCAGCCCTCCAAATCTCAACCTGTGGCTGGAAGCAGTGCAACCAAGAGGAAAGCGATGAAATGAAGAATATAACTCTTACTCTGGGGAATAATTTAATACATATTTGTGGGAAAATGTATTTTTCAAAAAATATATATTTTGATGATGTTTAGGCCAGCAGAGAAGGCCTTGCTGGCCCGTGACGGCCCACCACTGATTGGGGAGAAAACCTGTAGAAACTGAGTGATACAGTCAGGGTTAGACGGGGTTTGTAACCAATCAGATGTAGAGACCTGGTGACTGGCTCCGCCCTCTCACTGTCAAAAAGAAAAACAGTGAGCGCGTAGAAAACACCTTCGAGCGCGAGCAGAGACTAACTTCGCGAGCGAGGAAGTTCACGTTTCGCAAGCGAGCAAAAATCTCGCGCGAGACGGAGATTTGCTCACGCGAGACGGAGATTTGCTCGCGGATGTTTGATTTACACGCGCGCATCAACCTGTTTTGCGCTCTCGAATTTTGACAGTGATTTGCCGCCATAGTTTTGTTCATTTCAGCTGATCTCTCTGGAAGCGATGATGACGCGTCACGTCATGACGCTGGTACTTCTGACTATATATAGTCTACTGGACAAGTCCAGATCGCAATTCTCTTACTTGGCCCAACGGCTAGCACACCGGCACCGACTGTCGGGCCTCACTGCGCATGCACACTTGACACGGAGGTTTGAGGTGGCCGGTTCGGTTCGCGATAGAGACCATAGATTATAACGCAGTCGAACGTCCGCACATGGCGGTACGCTCAGCTCACGCATAACATTGTGTTGGTAGTGATACATGTACTTTTAATGATAATAACTTGCTCAATTTTCAACCGATTTTTAAACGGTTTGGTTAGTTATAAACGTCAGAGATGTTGTTATAAAAATGGAAAATGATCCTTTGTGTCACTACAATTAGATAACCAGTACTAAGCTGAGTGGGGTAAACATTTCTTTATTTGTAAATAGCTCTTTATCATTCATGTGTCTCTTTGCCCCAGAGTACAGGAAAACTAGCCCAAAACTGATTGTATTTTAGGATAGATATCTTAATTTACAAATCAGGAATCAGGAAACATATTTTGGCAAATAAGCCAAAATATGCTAAACATACAAGGAATTTGTCTTGGCGGTTAGTGCGCGACAGTAGACAGACAAGACAACAGTGCACAAGTAATAAAATAAAATAAAATGTAAATGTAAGTAAAATATTACTGGGTATATTCCATATTTCAAAAACACAAATGTATTTTTATTTTTTGTTTTTTTCTGTGGCTCAAGGTGGGGCCACGCCCCATTGCCCTCTAGGGACCAGCCGCCACTGACTGCGTAGAGATTTTGGGATGGTTAAATGTCCAAAACACCAAACAAAATGTAAGTTTGCTCAGTGTGAAAAGTAAAGTGATTTGTGACAAGACGGTATTACACATTCATGAATGCAGACCAAACAGTCATATGCTCCTGACTTGAGTTTGAGATTGTAGTTCCTGATATTTGCCAATGTCCGAAGTGCAAATATTCCTTGTATGTCCATGTACGTAAGGGCAAGCAAATGACTACAATATCCAATTGCAAATGTCAGCCTATTCCCCAGAGAGCAAGAGACAGATAGTTTCACGCATGATGATATGATCAGAGAGGAAAAACTGGTAGGTGCAGTGAGGAAGAGCGAGGCAGATGAGATAAAACAGATAGAAGCGAGCGAAGTAGACGGGATATGGGAGCAAAGAAAAATGACTCGCTACCAAAACCATCTTTGTGGCAATTCCGGCTAGGTAAATAACTAGAACATGGAAAAATAGCAACCAAGACATGTGTCAGCTGGCTGTCCCCATTGGGGACCAGAGCAATGGATGGACAGGGTTTGGCCAGCTTGTTCAAAGGGTTTTACATCGCTGTCACATCTCTGGTGCTAAAGGGAATTCAATACAAATAAAGCATATTACATTCAGGGGGAAATTCATGACCCTATTCAGTTGGCATAAACTCACTGAATGATGTATGCATTTTACTGTATCTTAATATGGTTTATTACTACAGGAGCGCTGAGTTGCTATTTATTTTGAGGATTGCAGTTTCTTGCAGTTTCTTGCAGGTTTTAGTGTCGGCAGAGCCCGAACAATCCTTTTGTGAACTCGCCAATCGCTGTTCTCCCCCAGGCCGCAGAGCGGACTGGCAAAAGACAAACCTCCGTCTTTATTTAACGACAGTGAAACCATTGTGTGAGTACTTTTAGTTTGGATCTGTCAAGTCTGTCCTCTCAACAACACAGAATGCTGAAGTTTGGGGACTTTGGGGCTTTTTCTGGACTCAAGTCATGAACGCAGTGGTAGCTGTCGAAAGTGCCAGCAGCTGCGTGGAGATGCAGTCTGGCTCGCCAAACTGCCAGTACGTCTCCGTCGGCTCAGGCCTTTGGTCTCTGGTGTGGCCGCGAGCAGCCTGGGCCCCTGCTTTCTGTTCTCCATGCTCGCCAACATTAACGCTTCAATTAGACAAAGTCCATCTGGAGCAGATTGAGAGGTGGTCTTTAAAAAAATATTGCTTGCTGCCTTTTTTGTGTTATATTTTTAACTCAGTCTAGGAATATTTCATTATTATCTATTGTCTTGGTTATTTTTGTCTGGTTTCCATCAGTTGATGTGAGGTTTTCTTCTATTGGATGAGCCGTTTTAGCTATTTTTTCTGTCAACCGCACTATATAGTAGGTATTCCATGTTGATACATTTAAATGGATGTTTTACTCGTCAGCTGTCTAGTGGGGTTACAAGTAAACAAAAGCACCATAAAGCTTTGTTGTCCAATCTGGCGTGCTCTCATTTAAAAACTGCTTTGAAAAGTGGAGAGAAGCTTCTCCTCTTTTTCCACGGGTCACAAAAAAGACTTTTAAAAGCGGTCAAATGGCCACTTGCTAATTAGCACAAAGTTACATATGCGCGTTGTCATGTACACCCGGAATGGCGCGACAGCAGCTCCCTAGTGGGCTTCACAAAGAGGTATGGTACACAAATCAACAGATGTTCCACGGCGTGGAAAATAATTCATTAATAGGCATTACAGATGGTTGTTGCTACCATTTGCCAGTGTCTTCACTCACCAGCAGAAGTTGGGAAGGAAACACAAGTATCACTCATTATATAACATGATATAGTCATTGACACCTCAGCAGGCTTTTTGCTGTATTTTAATGTGCATTTAAAATAATACATTTTTTGCAAATGTTTACGTTGCACAGGCCTGCAAATGGTTTCTTATCATTTCACCTAATCCACGAGTGCCAGTAACCCAACAGCTAACTAACCTCGATATTTAATGCTTGATCCTCAAACCTTCAAAAATAATGTACTTTGTATTTGGAAAAACAAACTTTCTGACTTACTACCATATCCAGATCAGCCTTATAAAAGTTTTGTGAATTCATCCACTTCATATGTGGTTACACACCCTGTATCACTATCATTTTAAAGTTAAACCATGTACCTTTCTGCACAGGGCTCCCGGAGCCTTGCGGCATGAGATACCAGATATCAGTGCAGTGAATAACAATCATTGAGACCCCAGGGTGAGAGCCCATTCAATTTCAAATCACACATCATCCCAGTGGGAATAAAAATGACCATTTAACTCTGTGACAATGCGCTTAATGTGAAATTGGCTCTGTTAGCATTGGCAAGATAAAGGGCGGGAATCTTGTTTCTAAATAAATTAATTCCGAACAGGAAGAGATATTAGTTTTTTCCATTGCTTAAGTTATAATATTATAAATAAGATAAGATTTTCAGGGGAAATCTCAATATTTCAACTCAACCGTT